TCATAAGTTTTTAAAATCTATGGCTAACTAACACACAAACTTGACATTATCGAATACCTAATTCAAAAACTAAAAAGGGAAATGTAAGAAACAATATAACAAACATTTTTACTAAAAATTAAATTTAAGCGTAATTGTAAAGTTAAAGTTATATTTGTGTAATTTTTATACTTTGCCAAGTAAGTACTTTTGTACCACAGTTTGCTATATTATTGAGTGTTTTATAAACATTAGAATTATTTAAATTTTTAAAATTATTCATAGTGTAATTTAATATTCATGTGACCGGAAATGAAGCATGGGAAAGGTTGGGTATGTTTTGAGCTGAAATAGAGCTTACTTTCAAAACCTGGGACTGTGGATTGCTTATTTCCGGAATTAAATATATGAATTCTGAATCATACCTGCGTAAGAAGAATGTTACAAATTTATTGAAAGTGATTCATTGATTCGTCAGTTATGTCATGGAATTAAGCAACTCAAGATTAAAATTTTAGTTTTCATATTATTATGTTAATTAAAATTAAAGTAAAATAGAGCTAGCTGCTCATCTATAAAATTTGGGTAAGGTTCAGCAAGTTTGTCATTGTCAAACTCAGAATGTGAAGTCAGACCGTTACTAGGTAATTAGTCTTATTTCGTTTAGGCTTACGAATCAGTGAGTTGCTATACAACAATGTTAACGAATATTATTATTGGTCGTATCTGAACTTCCAGAAGACAGTGAAATGAAAGGCATAAATAAATTTCCATATTGTCCTCTTCACAGTATCCTTCTTTAGATGTAGTATTACATTGATACTTTCAAAGTTTTAGTATCCTGGATGCAGTGAAAGTGAAAGCCTATTTCAAAACATTTACCTGAAGGTTGAAGCGGAAACAAAGAAATGAAACTAAAAGTATAAAATATATATTTTGCCATTGAAGTGACTAAAGCTTAGCTAAATCCAGTGTAGCCCACTCCACAAATCAAGAAGTTGCTAAATGTCGCTCTTTAGACATTCTGCAGTTGTCAGAAATGTCACCAGACAAAATCTTAATAGAATTTAACAGAGAATTAAAAATAAATCACTATATAATTCAATAGATATTTTATATATACAGGATGGGAAATTTTCGTTACAATGAAGAGACACTCCTGAAATAATACATTTTTTTAGTTTTGATATTTACTAATTCACTAACACTGAAAATAATTTTAGACTGTAATTCGTATTCTAACAAGTTTTTTTAAAGGTATAACTAAGTTTACATAATGTTCTCTTAGTTCCTTTGGTTAAACGTAGATGGGTGGATGTGAATGGAACTGCCTACGAGTAACTACAACATACATCACAGTTATTAAATGCCACTCACTGTCTCACATTGTGTATTGATGAGGTTGTGGTTGACGTAATAATGTTGTGACATGCAACAGGATATACTAAGATGAGTATGAATTGTATTAACACTATTGAGCTGCTTGTGAGTGGTTTTGTGACTATAAAAAATTGATCACTTCTCTGAATGTCACTAGTTGCTTTGACAAACTTTTGTCACGTGGGAAACCCAAACATCACTCGAAGAGAAACTTGGCCACAGAAAACTAGTCTTCTAAAAGTAATTATATTCCATGCTAAAGCAACTACATACATCATATATATATTTGTGTTTTAATAAAGATTACTTATTGTATTTCTGTACTTTTGTGTCTTATGTCTTTATTTCTCATGAACTCGGATTTGGAGAATTCAGAATTACTACACAGTAAATAACTTGTCAGATCTGTTATTCTGTGAACCTATTTAGTCACTCTCAAAGGAAAACAGTTTTACTTGAAAATACCACAATAGTTTAGCTGTCATCATCTAAGTAAAACTTCTAAGTTAATGGTATATCATAGAAAGTTAACAATATCAACAAAGACGAGTTAAATTTATAGTTTTGGATTATGTTATAAGTAATTTTTATTAATTTTTTCAGTGTAGAATAACCATTTTGTGATTTTAATATTTTTTTAACTTGCGAGATGACACTGAGTTCTTTCTAAATATTGAATGTAGCTCTGAACTAATATTAGATACGATTTTCATTGACCGAAACTTGCCATGAGTATTATCTATTTGAATATACCTCGAAATTGTTTTAATTAGTTATAGTAAGATTTTATAATAAAAATAGTTTTGAAGAATTTTGTCTTTATAAAGTGAAGTCCTTGTTATATCTACATGTATGTAATACTGTAGAGTTACACTAGTTACTTCCCTTTTCTAAGACATTAATTGATTGAATTGCTTTGCAGGTGTAAAATGTTTGACACGATGAATATCTGATTTGACAATTCATTTTGGAGGGTAACAAGCATCATGTAGTCCTTTTTACAATTTTGAAATATTTTAAAGAAGCGAAAAGAGATGCAAGTCTTGACATTTGTTTGGTTAAAGAATTTGCCTAATTGATGTAGTAGCACTGGATTTATGTTTATTGATGAGAATTGAAAGTAGGCAGCTGGATGTTGTTGAAATCTATAAATAAGTAATAGCCCATTGTTTGCAAAGATAATATGCTTTATGGTGGAAAATATAAATTGAAAAATACAGCAAAAGAATTACTAACATTTTAATATTTATCTTTATTTTTAGATTATTTATAATCTACAAATTTCCAATGTGAAAATATTTTGTGGAGACAACAATGGACTATAATTCATGTATCTTAGATATTAATACTGGAATATATCAGAAACTCTGCACAGTCTTGGATAGAGACTCCTTATGGAAACAATTAGTAGAAAATATTCCTTGTGTTGCTGAAAGGTAATTTTTATATTGGTGCATTTACTGCTAACTTTAACCCCCCAACGAATGGTAACAGTCATAGGTGTAAGTATAGTTAGTTAAATATTATCCATTGTATATGTAATATTTTATAACATTCTTTGCAGAGTCCTTAGTTTTAGAGCTTCATGTAGGAAAGAGTGTGATTACTTGACATAATATGTGTCTAATGTACTAACACAGTTTAAAAACAGTGATTTCTTTGTTTGTGGTTTGGCTAAATAGTAGATGGGGACAGTGGGAGTCTTGAATTGATGTGATTATTAAGAAGTACTTTAATTTGAAAGGACATTGTAATAGTACTTCAGAATACTCTTGCATAATATTAAATTAATAGTTATATTTTAGAATAGATGAAAACAATTCAACTTGGAAATATTTGTTGATGAAAGTATTGGTAATGTAATAGTCAGAATGAGATTTGAGCTTGGTTGACGTAATTGAGATAAAGCTTCAATATTACATATTAGCAGTGTGAGATGAATGTTCTGAAGTGAAAGATTTCAGTCACATTTAAAATAAATATTAACAGCCCTAAGTTTTTAAGTTAATTATCAACCTGGCCAAAATTGGCATGTCTTGTTGCTGTTTTGAATATAGTTCAAAATCTGAATGATAAGGAATTTCTAAGAGAGGGATTTAATAGTTCTTTAAGTGGGGAAACTAACTTGATCTTTTAGGATTTCCTGGGCTGGTGAGAGCTAATATTGCTTAAAACTGCAGCTTTCAGCTAGTTGTTTTTGTATTCTTATTGGTTGTAGTAAACTAGTAGTTGAAAAATTAAAATTAGTGTAAACATGGGTGTTGGATTTCTCAGAAAAGTTGAACACTTCTTCAAAAATATTAACTGCAGTAAAAAATTATGGTTGTGTAGATATAGAAAACTCACAAAAATCATTAAAACATTTTAAAGCAGTAAACAACTGGAAATAATATTGTGAGATAGTTTGCAAAGAATAAAAGTTACCAAGATATATTAAGTATTGTGTTATAATATTGTGTCTGTACAGTAATCCCACCTTGTATTCTAGGTAGAGGCTCAAACATTACTGATATGAGTTGGCAGTAAAATTTTTTATATTTTCCAAAAAAAAAGTTTTAGTTTTTAAAAAATCCTTGGAAAATTGTATTATTTAAAATTGAATAGCTTAGTGTTTTAAGTTTTAAGCTATTAGAAATTGCTTGAATTTACTAGCTTCACTAGTCATTTTTTTAATAACTTGGAAATATTCTATTATAAAAATGCTATATTTTGTTTTCATTAAATATGAAAATATTGAAGTACATAAAACATTTTAAGTTATATGTATAATATCAGGCAAGTATTAATAGTTCAAAGCAGCGTTCTTTTAGTTATTTAGGGATGCAATAAATCTGTTAATTTGTGGTTGATCTGGGCTATCAAGAAATGAAATTGCTGCATATAATTGTTCTTTACTGTATCATAAACCTACATATCTCATGAGCTATTGACTTCCATACCAGAATTTTTAAAGAACAGCTTATGAGGTAGATTTTAACATATTGTTAGTCTCCGTTTGTTAATTGATTTTCCGTAACTTCGTTGCGACGAAACTTTAGCAACACAAGTCCTTACTTAATAAAACTGGTTTATTCTTCCTGAATATAACTTTACCGATACACTTATTTTCAACAGTCGCTCTTTTACAAACGTTTTAACAACGAACGTTAACTTCAACAATACTTCCTCACTGCAGTTCAATTACTCACTACCTACACACATTATTATTATTATCCCGTCACGTTGTCACCCTCTTTTATATACCAGACTACCCTATATCTAGTAAATGCTAGAGCATTCACCAAGGTACAGGATAGTTCTAGAAACGTGGCGTGACACTAGTCATGTGACCTTGCTGATGCAACAATATTCATGAATTTTGGTTCCACATACACTATAAGATACAAAATTTTGCAATATATATTAGTTTAAAAGCTAACTGTGAATCATAACAGTTTTCAAACAAAATCCAAAACCATTACAACTTTGTATGTGATCCTGTGTGCTGACTTCTTTAATGGGAATCATAATAACTGTATTTTAATAAAAGAAGGTGAAATAACAAAAGTATATGAAAATTTAAAAAAAATTGTAACAAAAAGTAAAAGTTGTGGAGTAAATTTACATTTTCATACTTCTATTTATTTCAAGTTTCAAAATCATACATTATAGCTTTACTAGTTATTTAAACAGTTATGTCTTAGTCTTTAGTTTTACATTTAACAAAAAAATATCAAAATTAACTTCACTTGATGATACACTGTGTTGGAGATTATTGAAACAATGCTATGTTAATAGATATTATAATATATTTAAGGCATTCTGTGCATTGATGTATTTAATTACATACTAATGTGTGTGTTTTTATTTTTTATATTTACAGAATTTCAGTTGAAGAGATTTCTCAAAAATACAAGCAAAAGCCAACTTGGATGTTATTGTATGAATTAGGTAGCTATGGTCTTACTCTTGGAGAATTAGTAGAATGGTTAAAATATCTCCAACTTGAAGCACCTCTTTTGTTACTGATAGCAGATGGTAAGATTGAATTATTTAACTGATAGTTTTGGGTAGTAACACTAGTACTTACATGTGTATTTGTTGTTATTTCTGCTTTTGGGTTTGTGTTATTTATGTATAATATGGTTATACTTTTCCCTTCTCCACAAAAAAAGTTTTTTTTTTATGAAGCACTTCTTACCAAATCTTTTTGCTTTGTAGGAAGGGTAAATTTAATTACTTAAATTATTTAGTTACTTCCAAATTGCTGGTATTTGCCTTCTAAATGCATGCTTAAGCAGGCCAGTTGAACAACACTCCATTGGATAATCAAAAAGCATTTGTTCCTAGCACTTGTAGATACATAATACACATAGATTCTTACAGAATAGTACATGACCAGCTACCTTAGTCATTCACTTGTCAATGAGTTCATCCATCACACACACATGTGAGTTTTTCACCACTGTCTGGTTGTCAAGATAGGCAGATGTGTACCATAAGTCTATCCACTCACCAGGCTTAAGCTTTCATTCTATTACTGTATTGTTGTTTCATCTCTTTGACACAACTATTTGCTGCTGCAAGACTTTATGCACATCTGCTATTGCAGAATGCAGTCATTCCACATATGTTATGCCAATATGGTACTTCTGCAGTGGGTTGAGGGCCATACATTAGGTCCACTGAGAGGTGCACTTCTCATTTGAATATCGGGAAGTGTGAAAAACACCTCGTCAGCTGTTGCTCAGTTGCACATTAATCCATCAGGATATACGATAGGTGCGCATTCCAATAAATTTAATTAAGCTTAGCAAGTATATACTTAACAGTCTGTACTGCCCTTTCAGCCAGCTCCTTAGATTAAAGATATGTTAAAGTGCACATTTACATCACACCTAACTCACAACAACTGACTGTTGAGGTTAGTTTCTTGATCTGTGTGGATCTCTCCACTCACAACAAAGTATGAAATCTATTGTTCAGCCAACACATTTGTGATAGACTATGCTACTGTATCAGTTAGTGGATAGGCTTCAACCCACTTTGTGAAGTAATCAGTAATGACCAGCTTATATTGATAATTTCTTTCAATTTCACACTATGGATCAACTATATCTAAGGCGATTTTCTTGAGAGGAGAACCTACAACTCTCTTAAGAAATTTTTCCCTGACATGACTGTTTTTTCCTGCTTTATTGCTCTGGGGTCTACTAGCAGCATCAGAGGATGGGTATCATTCTGCCCTTGTAAGTTACTATTCAAGTGCCAGATAATACTTGTGTTATTAATATGTTTGCCACTTTGTGATAGGCACATGCTGAGATGCAAATGGTACCCAAAGTATGCTGGTGTGGGTCCTTCAGTTGCTCATTTGAAGATCCTTACTGGTCATTTGTGCTGTCACTCCAGATGCAGAATTGTCACTGGCCATATGGTTTGTTGTAACTGCTGCTGCAATGGCTTTAACCACTTCATGGTGCCTGGGGGTCTGGATATTTAATGAACAAGACATGCTCTCATAGATTGGTAGGATAATCCATTAGCATTTTTATGCTTCTGACCTCATTGATGTTGATTGCTTCCACCATCACAGGCATCTTTATCCATAATTAATGGACAACCTTGATGAGTATAAACCTACACTGTTGTATTGACCAAGCCACACTTCAAAGGCTGGATAGTTTCACATTGGTGATAACAAGGTTGATCAAATTACTTGACCCCACATTAGGGTGCATCAAAAATATAACTTTCTTATATCATTATTGGCAGGGTATGCGATTGGTGCCATTTAATAGTAGTAATTATGTGGATAAGTTTCAGGCTTCTAAAATTACATATTGTACTGCTGCAGGAAGGAGGGGGTATTTTCCTTAAAATAACCATAATCAAAGTATCATAACTTTGGATATGCAGCGTTTAGCTAATTTTGGAGTTTTATATCCTAAATTACCCAGAACTCACTATGAGGAGGTAGTTGCATGTCAAATTCCACCTATGCCCACCTAACCACCCTTCCACTGGGCAATAGAATTACTGGATTATGTATAGTTTCTTAGTATTAAATTTTTTCATCATTTTGCGAGATTGAAGTTTTGCTTTAATGAATTCCTTTCTTCTGCGACAGCCACAAAGAGCTGCTGAAGCATCTGTTACTATTACTATTATACAATTTTTTATACTTTCTAATGTTCCGGAACAAGGAGAAATGGGATCCGTGAAAATTGATTTTGGTTCACTGACCAAAATTATGTGCTGTACCATGACTACACATTTATAATGTTTTTGCCCATTTTTAATGACAATTTTTAGTTATATCTTTTCTATCATCAAAGTACATAGATTTAATACAGTTTGATTCATCAGAAGTCAGTAATGTTTTTCGGTATTTTTCTCATTCGCATCATATTTTGTTTTATTGACAATTTTAGCATTGTCATTTTCTTGAGTAATGCCCATATCTTCCAAAACAGCTGAGGTAAGGGCTGCAGCAGCTCTATCTGAAATACATTGCCTGTCAACTTTTCTCACTGCTGTTGGAAGCGGTGTCCTCATTTGTTTATTTATTTTAGGATTTTGGGATTTCGATGTAGAAAGTGTAGTATTAGCAAAATAAACCAAACAAGTTGTTGATTAACTATTCATTTGGTGGAGAGATAATACACTTTTTTTTTCAAACTTTGGTTCGCTTGCAGCAGTTGTTGATATAATTGGAGGACTTTCATACTGCATAAGATTAATTCTTATAGTAAAAGGCAACTATTGCTTACCCTACCGATTAGCAATTACAAAATAAAATTTTTGACTAAGTAAATTCGAAGCACCCTACCCCACATACAGATGGATAATAACAGGAGATTCAAGATACTGATTACAAAGTAATGCAAAATTTCTGGGTAACTGAGTCATGAAAATGAATGAAATAGAAAGACTGGACACAAAGTGAAACACAAAATGAACAATTTTTGTTATAATAGACATCAAACTTAAACACTGTGTGTGTGTGTGCATGCTTGCTTTTGCTTACTTGCAACAAATCACTTTTACTGGATCTCTATATTCATCCATTCATGCTGAATCCATGTATCATATTAACTAAATCCAGCATTTCTTATTTCACAAAAATTGTCCCATTTACCCACAGTGACTAGCTCTACACACAACTGGTCGTTCTCATTGAAAAATAGATGATGTTGTAATCTTTAGATATCACCAGAACTACCACTGAAGGACACTGCTGCTGGTATCTTTTCAGCAGTATCTCCCAGTAAAACAGGTATTATCTATTAGAAAATAACAAAGGAACAAGCCTGCTAGAACAAAATCAGTATAATTTCTTTCTCGGCTATATGTTACATGAAACCTGAGCCAGTACAGAATGAATGATAAATTCAGAATAAACACTGTGATATTATAAGAAGAAAAATGCATGGTATATTCACATACCTCAACCATACTCTAGGTTACAGTTTCCTGATGTCCATTTCACAAAATTGCCCTTACCATTAACAAGGTCCAGCAAAGAGGGTGTATTGAAGCTACCATTGTGCGTTTTGAGTCATCATTCTCAGATTCTTTTTCTACACTCATTGGATCTAAGAGCATCATCTGTATTTTTGTTGTTTATTGCCACTATTTAAAGGATATGTATTTTGTGGATCAAAAAATGAATACATTATTTTTAATAATTTTATTAAAATTTTACAAAGATCATTGTTTTTGTTTTACTCTTTGTACTAAGAGTACCTCAAGCAACCAATTATTATAACAAATTATAAAATTCCCTCATCTATTTCTTGGTTATCTTAAAAAGTGATTTCATAGGAACAGAAATATTATAATTTTAGATAATAATATGATTCAGGAACTTGGTTTTATTTAGCTGAAGCTAGCATATTGTGTCCACCTTTTTTAAATAGTTGTGAAAAATGTTTACAACTACATGCAGGTGGATGTTTTTCAGTTAGATGAGTTGCATTTTGACCATAAAGCTTATTCATTTTCACTTAATTGCAATGCATGTAAAATATACTGTGAACTGTGGTGGATTATAGCAAAAGACAGCCAAGTTTTTTTTATTATTTTTATAATGTGCTATGTTTTGTGTTACTTAAGGATGAGTAAAAAACAAAGTAATATTGTGTGTTGCCAATTAGCAATTATTTTAATCATTAAGAAGTGATAATACAAAACGTATATAGGTTTAAAAATATTATACCATCAGTTGTCCTAGACCAATCTTTCTTTTCAGTTATTTTCAATATATTTAACTTTCTTCTGTAAGAAAATATTTTTGATGATACAAACACTTATTTTGATTTCACACTAAAAATGTTGAAACATTTTGTAAAGATGAGTAAGTAAAAATATAATTTTTTCATCACATTTGAATTAAATTGTGCAATGTGTCAGTAATGTTTCAATTTGCCCATTGAAGTATTTAGGTTAGGAAACCTGCAAAGTTTGAGTTTGTGGCTATACTTAACAGAGGTAATGTAAAGATGTGGCTGATATTTGAGAAATTATCATTCAGCTCTAATAGATTATATTAGTTTAAATTATTAGCGTACCAGACTATGGAGCAGATACTCGATGGTTTTGTCCAATTACTGCCAAAAACAATAGTTTTCTGCACTTTAGGGGCTGTGGGTGCATTATAAGTGTGGAGGTCAAATCACACTGTGTAATGTGGCAAGACTAGCCTAATAGTTGGCAGTGTGTAGCGTTGACAGACTGCCTTCCCTTTAGTCTATTTAATCAAAATTAAAGACACCTAACACAGGTAATCTATTAGTGGCATTACAATAACTGAAATATTAAAGAGACATTAAATATTTTTGAAATAGCTCTTAAACTTAAAAGCTTACATGGGGTGCACAAATATTTCCTACTTAAGCACGAAACAGGCCATCCTGTAATAGTAAAGTTTGAGCGAAGAACACAACCACATACATGAAACAATAACTGTAGCTACAAATCATAAAAAGGGTTTCTTTAAAATTGTCAGTCAAATAAAACCAGGAAGCACATTGTGTTAAATAGAAAAGTGAAGTAAATGTTGCATTAAGTGTTGAAGTAATGACGTAAATGCCATAAAACATATGACATGATAAAGTAACCAGTGCCATAGCTCATTCATTTTAGTTGATTAATTTATATTCTATCATAATAAAAAACATAGCTTTTTTTTTCAAAATTGATTTTATTGCATTTTTTTCTCCATTCATAAATTAAGATTTTTTAGGCAATGTGAATTGTAATGGTCATAGGTAACTTGCCATTTAAATATTCATTGGAATATGTTTTTAGGTAAAGTCAGTGATTTACTATAGCTTACAGTGCTGAAAGAATTAATCTATTTCAACATGATAGAAACAAAAAATAGGATATACCACTTGATGTAGTAGACACAAAGACTTAATAAATGCCACACATAATGTCAAATTATACCCAACTTTCTAATCAAAGTACAAAGATTTTAAACAGTTTTGTACAGAAAACATTATTTAATAATTTTAGTTTTTGTTGATTGATTTCTATACTTGATTAGCGTTTTATAACATTTTTTATTACCTAACAAAATGAAAGCATTATTTAAAACCGCTGTTATATAAAACTGTAAATGTGTGTAGTAAATATTTTAGTGTGAAAAACATTATATATAATTATTAAAATACGAAATTTATGATGATGTATGTTAAAAGGAAAAAGTATTGAATTTTTAAAATAGGTTGGTAACTTTTAGTTTATTGATAACAGTTTGTACTATGTTTAAAACAAAAACAAATATATAAGCACAATTAAAAAAAAGAGTAAAACAAAAGGGGGGGTATTTGAGAAATGTGAAACTAGTATTAATGTCAAATTATTAATACTATTTGATAGAACCATTAGAGATTATCACTCAACCTACACCTTATGTTGAAGTGGAAGAAGATCAAAACAATGGCTTGACTTTAGTGTGTGAGGCAAGAGGGTTTCCTTTCCCTCAATATACTTGGTTTCATGATGGAGAGGAGTTAGAGACATCAAAGAACTCTGTGCTTCACATTTTTCCTGTCAAGTAAGTTTATTATGTGGTTAAATTTACAATAAATATACTGTCTGGAAATGTATGGCACTAGAAGAAATACATACTTACTGTGTTTGTAAATGAAGAACACTTATATGCGTAAAATTCAAATTTTATTTTTTCTATCTTTGAGATATCAGTGCAATAAGTATCCCAATCATGCTGGAAAAAAGAAACCATAGTTTCAAATTAACAATATTTTTCCCATTAATTGTGATTACTTAATGTTCTAATATGCTATTAATAGAGCTGGACTGTTAATGGAATTTGCTAATCACTTAATATCTGGGTTCATTAATCAGTTACATCCAACTAATAGATTTATCCCATATACATACTTTTCAGCTTTCTTTTGGTTTTTAAAGACATTTTCAAACTACCCTATGTTTAATGTGATAGAAATCATCAGGTACAACAGTTTAGGGTGAAGTATCACATACATAACATAGTAAGAAATCTGTAACAAGCTAAAAATACGATGAATTCTGCTTGGTAGGTTTCTCCTAACAAATTCCTACAAGACTACTTAAACTAATAAAATAATTCTTTGTTAAAAATATGTAATATATAATTCAGTGAAAAGAATTTCACATTGATCCTAGAAAACAATAACAATGTAACATTTACTATTTGACAAAAAACTTATGGTGATACTAGATGACTCCTTTTCAGAGGTTAAAATGGTTCATAGGTTAAAATTGAAATATTGTAACAAATATGAAAATCACAGAGATATAAAAAAATCTTTAATTACAGATATCTCAGAAATATTTTCTAATTCCATCATCAGTGTAAAAACTTGAAATAATTAACAACATTATAAAAACATCATAAGCTCTTAAGCATGGAGATGTTGCTTATGGTGGAAGTTTAGAATGCATAAAGCCTAAAACTTAAAATTTACTGTACTAGGCAGTGTTTGAGCATCATGTGATGACAACCATACTTTTGGTTTACATTTTCAATGCTTCCCTCTTGGCTAAAGCTAGTTGTAATTAAACAGAAGTCCTGTTTGTATAAGTAGGTTAACAACTTTAACAGTATTACTTATTGATAGAGTGTTACTAGTTGTTGATTATTAAGCAATACGACGTGCAGTGTAGCATCAGAGATGTTTTACTAGTAAAACCCCCTTGGTTGTTGGTACTACACCTTTAGAGTGATGTATATAGTACCTCTCTTATTTTTGTTTATGTCACCAACTGCCATATTACCTGTTTGTCAATCCTCGGTTATAACTCTCTCTATTCAAAACCAACTGCTACTATACATTGCATTATGCGTAGGCTTACTACAAGTTTGTATGAACTTCATCTGGTGTACATATTTATGTCGGATGTTAGCGATTATTCCCAGTATTCAACATGTCTAGTAGATCTCCTGCAATCTTGTTTGGCTTCAAAGATCATAAAGAATTTACTGACATCAGTACTGGTTTTAGTGTTATTTGCTGACATTTTCTTTTTTTTCTTTGTTAATTTTTTTTTCATGGGAGGAGATGTTAAAACAAAGGCTGTGGGGTAACGTGTAAATTACACAATAAAAAATAAAGCAAGAAGAATAAAAAATTACATGCATCAAACAAACTTTATTTACATCTTAACTGCAAGTCTTTTATGACAAGGTTTCGGTCTTGACCCCTAAGTTCTTGATCTCGAAACCTCAGGTCTCATTCTTGGTCTTGTACATTGAGGTCTCGACTGCAACACTGGTAATTTCTAGCAAATGCAGTTAAATGAGTGAGTTATTAGCAGTCAACAGTTTTTTGAGTTAATAAAGAACAATGAATTTTAACTTCCCATAACTTTTGTTTTATTAAAGCAGTCTTGTCCTAAATAACACTGGTTGAGTTTGTAGCTTGTAATAAGTAGCAATATATTAAGTTAAAGATACACTATTATAGAGACATACAAGGTAAACACAGACAACAGGCCTCACTGTGGTAAGTTTATGTAACCAGCAGCCACTAGGCCACACCTTATCATTAGTGAGTTGTGCACAAACACGATGCACACACATATCGTCATATCATGCAGTCATATATCAATGAAAATAGTAATAGCTAATATTTCAGTCACTTGTTGGAATAATCATCAAAAGTAAGAATTAAAAACATTAATTTCATTTAGTTGATTATTTTTGCACTGTGACACTAATCAATAGATTTTTATGATGCTTATTACTTTGAAATGAGTTGTGGTACTAAATTTGTTATGAGTGGTTTGTTTCAAAATACAATAATTCAAGCTTATGCTTTTATTCCTATAAAGACTAGTATTAAGCTTGTTGATTTTTCTAATTTTATTATATAAGAAGAAGTGTTAGAAGCTGCGCAGTGTTTTTAAGTGACCTTGATAGTTAGATGAAACTATTAGAAATTGGTATGAGTTAATGAATTTATATAAGTCATAGTTATACATTCTAAAGATATTCACCAACAAATCTTATTCCTTACCAATAAATGAAGTGTTTATGTTTGAAGTGGTTTAACTTTAGCATTCAAATTTACACATAAATATGACAGAAAAGACAAAAGGCAATCTTTTTTCTTTTCCCTTGCCACTTTTTTGTTCTGGTTGAAAAGTATCAAGGTCAAAGAAAAGGAAATGTGAAATTTTTACAATTTTTGGATATTTACATGTAGAACAGTTGCTGGTATACATTTAATATAAAAATATTTCATTGAAAGAGTTTTAATAATTTTTAGGAATTATATTTTGCTTTATTTTGTAAAATTACTTTCAAAAGTATTTTTAGTTTTCATGTGAAATATTACATTTCCATAAGATTTAATTCTGTAATATTATTCACTATTGTATCACTACAGGTTATCTGTTTGTTTGTTTTTGAATTTCGCGCAAAGCTACACGAGGGCTATCTGCACTAGCCGTCCCTAATTTAGCAGTGTAAGACTAGAAGGAAGGCAGCTAGTCATCACCACCCACCGCCAACTCTTGGGCTACTCTTTTACCAACGAATAGTGGGACTGACCGTCACATTATAATGCCCCCACGGCATGTTTGGTGTGACGGGGATTCGAACCCGCAACCCTCATATTGCGAGTCGAGCACCCTAACCACCTAGCCATGCCGTATTCAAGTGAAGCTTATCAAGAATAGAAGAGACAACTAAAACAACATGGGTTGTGAGGTCTAATCAACACAGTGGCAGCAACTGAGTGAATCGATGGTAGAATATTCCTATGTATTTATGGGACCAGACAACCAAATGGATCAAATCACAGTCATATAACGTTACATAAATACAGACGTCCAATTAAACAATGACAGCACAGGCTTTCATGAAACATGTGAGCTGTAGCCAGCACTGACGTACAGAGGATGTTAAATGATGAAATTATACAACCTTCAGAGAGTGCATGGCTATCTTCATGTGACGGTCATTAAAGATGGAAGGCATGTCTTGATTAATTTTGGATGGTGAACATGATAACTTGGATTGACCCCTTTCCATTACCATAAATAAATGAATGTTCAGATACTGGCATGTCAAACTAGATGATGGGAGC